TTGCTTTTGAATCATTCCCAACGCATGCAATCGCTTGGAAATGGCTTGGCGGGTAACTCCTAATGCTGAAGCAAGCTGTTCTTGCGTTTGGCACGGATCCTCATCGAGCAATGCCTCCAATTCAGCGTCTTCGAAAGTTTTTGGCCTTCCTTCACGCGGACGGTCGTCAACATCGAAATCATCGTCTTTGAAGCGACGAAACCAATCACGGCACGTTGTTTCACTTAGAGCAGCATCTCCGTAAACTTTTTGGAGCTCTCGATGCGCTTCAGCCGCCATTTTCTTCGAATGAAATAAGAAAATCAACACTTCCCGCAAATGACGATTTGGCACAAAATCAGACATTTTCACACAACCAAAAGTATATGATGCCAAAACAAAATCACTAACGTGTCAAAGCGGTTTGTTTACCATATGTCTAAGCTTGGTTCATGACGTTTTAGATATGTCAAAATCGACCAGCACTTACTGCTGGAGTCATCTATTGACAAACAGCGGGAACTTAGTTGCGCACCTAATATATCTAGTTACATTTTATTTCATATCTGTATCTAAATTTATCATTTCAGATACAAATACGAAATAAAATGCAATTTTGGTGATTTTATATATAATTGTTATTTTTTCACAAGAGACAAAGTTGCTTCCATGGTGTAAGAATATAAGGTGATACATTCCGGTGGATGCGCAGTAGCTACCAATCAGAAAGTTTCCACAAATGCGAAAAACCCAATGGCTCTCATCAGACGTAACGTTAACATATTTTGTGGTAACTTTCTGATTAATTCTACTCCCACCTCCATAATGCGCAATGAAACACTTTGGCCGCGTTCTGTTTCACGTATATGCGCGCATTTATCTACAGTTCATATCACGTATACAGTAGAGAATGCGCGCATAATATGTGAAACAGAACGCAACCCTTATATTCTTACACCATGGTTGCTTTATTAGGAGCGTTCAGCGAACTTGACTGTTACACAACAGTTGAATAATTTGTCAATATAACTGGTCTAGATTTAGGGATCTAAAGTAAGAAACCTAACAGTAAGAACCAATAATCGCTGATTGCTCATTGAGCGCTTTTTCCGCTGAACGCGTCCATTGGGTGTATTCAGTATTACAACCGCTCATTGAGTGCTCAGTGAGCTCTTGTATTCCATTGGCATATTCTTTTAGATCTAAAAATATGTACCAATGAAATGTAAGAGCTTACTGAGCGCTCCGTAATCAAAATATTTGAAAAGTATCTGAAGAGATACATCCTAAAAGTATATGTATCTACATCTAGTTATTCATATGAAATTCGTATCTGTATCTTCATCTAGCTACATTTTTCTTACTGTATCTGTATCTATATCTAGCTACTTCAAAACATGTATCTGTTACAACACTGTATATATATTACGGGAACATTGTAACAAATATTCTTTTGAAAATTGCAAAATTAGAAATACATTGCGAAATGTTGCTGCAATATTATTATT